CCCCTCCCTCCCGCCCTGCCCATTGTGTGCCGACAAAATGGCGGCGGTGAGTGAGGGGAGGGTGAGGGGGGGGGCGGCCGGGTCCCCTCACGGATTCCCCTCAGCATTTCCCCGAGGGACGGGGAGGGCACGCGGAGCCGCTGCCCGGGGACCGCGGGTGCCTCACGGGGCTCCCCCCCGCTCCCCTCATTCCCGGCCGGCGCCGCTTTGTTCGCGCCGCGTTTGCAAATGGCGGCAGCGCCCGGCGGCCCCCGCGCCCCCTCCTCGGTTTTACCCCGCGGCCCTGCACTCGTGTGGGACGGGGATGGGGGGGTCTGAGGGGAGCTGGTCCTTTCCAGACCCCCTCAGCCGCCCCTGGGAGGGATGTTCTGGGGGGGGAGCATGGAGGAGCTGGGATCATCCCCCTTGGAGGGGCTTAAAGCCCCTTTTCCCTCCCCATCCCACCTCATCCCAGGCTGGGAATTGCATTGGGGTCATCCCTTTTGAGGGACGATTTTATCCTCTGTCCCCCCTCAGCACCAGGATCCTCCTCTCCTCACATTTTCCCAGCTCCCTCACGTTTCCCGCTGCTCCAGCCCCGTTATCCGCGGCCGCTCGGTTTCTGGAAGCTTTAGAGGAGCACGAATCCAGCAGCAGCCCCTTCCCTCGGCAGGGACCGAGGCCTTTGTGCCCCCTCACCGCGGGATTCCCGCTGCAATCCGAGCCCCCGGGCTTCCTGCATGGCTCCCTGGCTCCTCATCCATCCCAAAACCCCGATAAAAAGCCACCAAAGCTTCCTTAAAACGCGGCCTCGAGCCCAAGCACGGCTTCGCCCCTGTCACGCTTTCCCACGTTGAGGGCAGAAATTCCAACCTTCGGTTGTTTTTCCCTCCGTCCTCCCAAAAACGCCTTTGGGAGAGTCCCTCCTTCCCTTGGGAGGCTCGATCCGAGCGCGGGAAGTTTGGTGAATTCCTGCTGGGGGTGGGAGTGGAGGAGGAACCAGGTGAAATTCCAGAGTTTGTCCCGTTTCCAAGGACCGGGCTCCCGGTTTTAACTGAATCTCTGCTTTTTCTGCACAATAGACACAAATCTGGTGCTGCTGCAGCATCCAGCTCCCAGATTTCTTCCCTCCAAAAATCCCACAAGAGGGATAATGGGAGATTCTCTGACTGTAGGAGCAGCAGGGTGGGGATTTCAACCCTTTCCTAAATTGAGGGGATTTTAATGGAAATAACGGAGCCTTCAGGGCCCAGCCCAGAGCAGGAGGCACCGGGAGATGCCATGTGGCTCCTTGGGAATGATTTTCCCTGCTCTGCCGGCGCCAGTCGGGGTTTAATTACAATTAAATCCAGATTTATGGCACTATTAAGCCATCCTGTGAATGAACTGGCAGGGCTGGAATCAGAGGGGTTTCCTTGGGTGGAATTGTGTGTCCCTACAGCAGCTCCAGGGAATGAGTTTTCCTGGTTTTTATCCTAAAAAACCTG